TGCAGATATTTAAAAGGCTGTCTTGTGGAAGAGAAAAGAGGAAATTTAGTCTTTATTGATTCAGCCATACTAGTAGGTTGAAGTTACAAGAAACAGTTTGAGAATCTCTAAAAGGAAGATCTTTATCAGGAAAACTCCATTAAACTTCCCTGTCACTGGAAATGTAGGAAAAGCTACATGAATATCTATAGGTCTTTAAAGATTTGATAAGTAATATATGTAATAATTGTTTTGGAGTAAAATCTCCATGGTATATGATGTACTTACCTTTAATCATGAATCATAATGGGTAAAACAATATAAACATCATTAAATATTTTAGTGGTATATCTGTTGCTCAACTTGCTGCATGATACCTATCACAGTTAAACATTTGCTCCAGAGAAATGATAGAAAATGATATCCCTAATCTTATGTATAGGAGAAAGGTGAGGCCTAAGTAAGTACTTCAACTACAGTTCTAATAAGAAAAGGGAAGTCCATTAGCTGATTGACCTAGGGCAAGTAGTGTCTTGTCTTAATTACCTACCTCAGGGGATTGTGAGATTAAATGACTTTGTATGTGTAAAGCATTTAACCCAGAGAGTATCTGGCCCAGGGAAGTATTCATTAAATAGTGGTAGTAGTTTTATTTACAGTTTTAAGATAATGAAAGGTGTTATTTGAGAGATTAGTATTCTAATCTAGATGAGTTTTTAATTCCTAATATCTGTGGTTCTGTTTTTCCCACATGTCATCAACCATTCTTCACAGCAAAGCTCTCCATGTGCCTCTCAAATCACAACTAAATGTGGTAAGGCCTCATTTATCTGGCGTTGTTGAAGAAATGTTTGACATAAGTGAGACACCTTCTGATTAACTTCCTAAAATGTAAACTTTTCTTTTAACCTTTTAAAAACAAATGTATCACATACTTTCCTGCCTTTTTAAAACAAAGATCCTAAACATGACTTTAACTTTTAATGAGTCGGTGTTGTTAATGTGTATATATCTATAATTAAATAGTTGTTTTAATTTACTTTATTTCATTCTTTTCAGACAGCTATCATTTTTTGGTGGTAAAGCCTTTTTATATCTTCCCAACCACTTTCTAAGTTTCTATATCTAATCTACTCTGGATTTGGAAACCAGGTATTGAAGCTTACTAAGAATTGTATGTTAAAATGATAAAATGTCTGGAATTTGCTTGAAAATATCCATTGGAACCAGGAAGCAGAGTGGGCGGTTGTTAATTATTCAAGCTGGGTAATGGGTATTTAAGCATCTATTACTCTGCCTTTATATGTTTGCAAATTTTCATAGTAAAAAGTTTTTAAAATCCAACGTTATAAAAAAAGAATTGTATGTTAGATATATGCAGGTCTATGTATATTTATTTCTTAACTTTTATCTTCATAAGGATTCACAGAAAACTTAGTATTTATCTTTGGATAGAAGGACTGAGAGCTAATAAGAGGCACAAACTTCTGGTTATAAAATAAATAAGTCATAGGAATGTGATGTACGGTATAGGGAATATAGTCATTAATATCATAGTAACTTTGTATGGTGACAGATGGTTACTAGACTTGCCATGTTGATCATTTTGTAGTGTATATAAATGTTGAATCACCTTGTTGTACACCTGAAACTAGTATAATATTGTATATCAACTATACTTTTAAAAAAAAAGACTGAGAGCTAAAAGGAAGGGATGTTCACTTTTTATTTGTTCTGGTGGAGTTTTAAGACCTTTTTTACCTTCATGTATTATGTTTGTTTATGTATTTATGTGTGTGTGTGTTTTAGATGTTTATCTACTCAGGAAGAAGGTGCATTTCCTCCTCCGTAAATTGAAAGCATCTAATTTAAGGGATTGTGAGGCTTCTGTACCTCTGTACTTTAACACGTTTTTTGTTTTGTTTTAAATAGGTATTTTAGGTGAATAACACTGGGTTCTGTGTGAAGTGCTAAAAGAGCAGTAAAGGGGGCTGTGTAATGGCTGTTTCAGACTTCTGAGAAGTCTCTTTTGGTATCCAAATCTGGGCCTAAGGGTCTCACTAACTGGTGTTTGCAGTGTCCTCTGTCACCTCTCCCTTTGCTACCTGTGCTGTAACTAAGCTCTTTACTCTCTCTTATGCTTTGTTTTCTTCCTAAACCTTAAACTCTTTGTTTCTTATTTCCTTCTTCCTTGATTTAAATATTCTGCCATTTTTGTGTTTACTGTTACTGAGTAAAACAGATACATGCCGAACTGCATAATGTAAATTCAATTGTAAATCACCACTGATGTACTGGATTCACAATTAAGTATTTTCTGAAGGTGGGAGGGTCAATTGGTGTCTCTATGAGAGGCAGTTTGACAAAATCTATCTATCATAATTTAAGATGTATATACTCTGTCATAGCAATTCCACTACTGGGAATTTATCCCAAAGTTATACTCACACGTGTGCAAAGATGTATGAAGAAACTGTGAATTGTGTTTGGATGGAAGACAAAAAGAGTTTGGGATGGGAGGCAGACTTACCTTTTGTTGTGTCTTGAAATTCACCTTTTCCTTTACCTTACGTAGTTACTACTTTTTATATTAAAGGGAGAAACTAGGGTAAAAAAGAGCCTTCTTCCCACCTGTGGGTAACACAGCATCTACGGGTTCTTATTCCTAATGAATTTTCTGGGTTATCTTTTTCTTCAAGGGTCAACAATGCTAACAGTAGACTTCTTTATTGCTTAACCTGACTTTGTGTAGAATTTTGACAACCCTAATCCTTTGATAATTGAGTCCATTTCTGATAGTAGAAATTTTTACAATTTTATTGCATAAATGTGTATGTGTATATCTATTGCATATATGCATTTATCCTTCCTGACCCATGTTCTATACACACACACACATTCTTTACCCCAATTCCATTACCTGTTGACTACCTTTATTTTCTCCATGGTCATGTTCTTAGATATCTGTATGTACGTATGTATATATGTAGATATACACACTGACATGAGACGCACATTTTAATAAAGGGATTGTTTTTAATTGTAGTTTTTCTTTTTAAACCTGATCGTGTTATACTCATTTGATTGCATTTTGCTTTTTCTACTCAGCACTGCAATGTGCAAATCTCACCAAGTTACCTGATAAAACTTTAATTTATTCTTTTAATGATTGCATTGTGTTAATTGGTCAAAGTATATTGTAATTTATTCAGCCATTCCTGTGTTGATTGAAACGACTCTGTTTATAGAGACAAGAAGTTGGAAAATTAGTGACAATAAACATCCTTGTACATATTATGTATGATTACTTTTATTTCTCTATGATAGATTCCCAGTAGTAGGACTGCCAGTAAAGGTGTAAGTACTTTAAATTTTAATATATGTTGCTAGATTTTTTTCCAGAAGGATGTCATAATTCACATTTAGACCAGTGAAATATGACAGTACCCTTTTGAGGAGATAGTATCAATCTTAAATTTTTCCTAAAGTGATAGCTCATTGTTAAACTAATTGTTATTTCTCTGACTTCTAGTAAGTTTGACTATTTTTTGTAAACTTGGCAAATTAGATCTGCTCTTTCTCTACATGTCAGATATTTTTTTCTGATTTAATTGCTTAGTTTATGGTTTTTTCATCATACGAAATTTTAAACTGACATCTTTTCTTTTAAAATTTCTGCTGTTAAGGATGTTTAGAAGACCTATCATGTCTTCTAAATTTTGTTGTAGAATGTATTGCTGTGATTAATTTTTTACATTTGCCTGTATTTCACCTGGAGTTTATTTTTTATATATAATGTAAGATAAAGATCTAGTTTTTGTTTTTGCTAGATGATAACCCCCAGTATTGTGATAATTGTTTAAAAAATACCCTTTCCTGCTGAAATAAAGTTCAACCTTTGACTTGTACATTTTCTCATATGTGTTGGTATCTATATTTAAGTTCTTTATTCTGTTCCACCTGTGTGTGTTTATTCCTATGCCAGTGCCATATTGGTTTGATTACAGTAGTCCCTCTTTATCTGCAGGATATGTTCCAAGACCCCCAACAGATATGCATGAAACCTTGGGTAGTACCGAAATCAAATATGCTATGTTTTTTCTATACATACATACCTATGATAAAGTTTAATTTATAACTTAGGCACAGTAAGACATTAACAACAATATCTAATAATAAAATAGAACAATGATAATGTACTGTAATAAAAGTTATCATACATCTTAGCAACTTCAAATAGGATTTTTTTCTTTCCTCATTCAGTCGAGAACTATCACCTCTTCACTTAAGAGGAGGATTTTACAGCTTCTCTTTGACGTATCCAAATTGCCAGCATCACTACTCCTGTGCTTTGGGGCCATTATTAAGTAAAATAAGGGTTACTTGGACAAAAGCACTGCGATTCCCTCACAGTCAATCTGATATGGAGACAGCTACTAAGTGACTCACAGATAGCACATACAGTATGGCTACTGGACAAAGGGATGATTATGGAACAGGCCAGGGCTGGACGGCTCTAGCCGGCACCAGCTTTCATCATGCTGCTCGGAATGGAGGGCAATTTAAAACTTATGAATTTTTTATTTCTGGAATTTTCCATTTAATATTCTGGAACTTTGGTTGACCAAGGGTAACTGAAACCGCTGAAAGTGAAACTGTGGATAAGGGGGGACTTCTGAAGTGTCTTTTGAATATATTCTGACATGTGGTTAGTGAAGTTCACTTATGGTTTTCTCCTTTTGTTCAATTTTCTTGGTGGCTCTTAGATTTTCTCCTTTATAACTTAAGATCTTATTTTTAAATAAAAAAATATTTTGGGCTTATTTCTCAATACAGTTATTTATAAATATTGAGGACAAGTTATTACTGTGAATGAAATATTTTTCCTGTTATTTTTCTAGGTGTTTCTTGCTAAACTAGTGAAAATTTTTAACTTTAAGTGTATTTATCATAGCTCTCCTTTATAATTTATTTTATTAATTTCAGGGTTATTTTTTACTAGAATTGCTTGTGTTTTCTAGGTACAGGCATACCTCGTTTTATTGCACTTCGCTTTATTGCGCTTCGCAGATATTACGTTTTTACAAGACCCTCCACCAGCAAAAAGATTACAACTCGCTGAAGGCTCAGATGATGGTTAGCATTTTTTAGCAATAAAGTATTTTAAATTAAGGTACGTACGTTGTTTTTTTAGACATAATGCTATTGCACACTTAATAGACTTCAGTATAGTGTAAACATAACTTTTATATGCACTGGGAAACAAAAAAACTCATGTGACTGGCTTTATTGCAATATTTGCTTTATTGTGGTGGTCTGGAACTGAACCTATAGTATGTCCGAGGTATGCCTGTATTCTATCAGACCGTTAGCAAAAATGCATTTTTCTTTTCCATCCTAATATTTATGCCCTAATTTATTTTCTTGTCTTATTAGTTTGCTGTCATCTTCAAGTCAGTGTTAAATTATAAAAGGTTTAGAGGACTTCCTGCTCTAATTCCTAATTTTATTCATTTGATTTATTGAATGAGTAATAACATTCATATGGTTAAAATAATAAAAATTTTCTGTGAACCATCTCCTTTCCACCCTTTCCCTAATCTGTCCATTTCCCACCCTATACTCAAAGTAACCAGTCTTCCACAGATCTTCAAATTTCCATATAGAAACAAGTTCTTTTTTTTTTTTTAAAGATTTTATTTTTCCTTTTTTCCCCCCAAACCCCCCTGGTCCGTAGTTGTATAGTTTTAGTTGTGGATCCTTCCACTTGTGGCATTTGAGATGCTGCCTCAGCATGGCCTGATGAGTGGTGCCATGTCTGTGCCCAGGATTCAAAGTGGTGAAACCCTGGGCCGCCAAAGCAGAGCACGCAGACTTAACCACTCGGCCACAGGGCCGGCCCTGAAACAAGTTCTTGATATAGATATATACGTATAGACACATACATGTATATATATATTTATTTATTTATTGTGTGTGGATACCATCTTAATTTTATTTGAAATGGTTTTAGTATTTTGCTATTTAGGAAACTTGCTGTTGTTTTTTTTCCCCAAAAATGTTTAATTTTTTCCTATTCTTTTCCATAGAGCTTTTATTATAAATGGCTGCTGAATTTTACCAAATTCTTTTTCAACATCTGTTGATATAATCATATGATTTTTTTCTCCTTAATTTGTTGATATATTGAATTAGGTTGATTTCTAAAAAAGAACCACTCGCATTTCTGCAATGAATTATGTATATAGTTTTTGATACGTGGCTAGACTCTATTGTCTAATTTGATTGTTTTTATTTAGAATTTTTACATTTAACTTTTAAATGAAATTGGTTTATGATATGTTTCGTGTACTACCATTATTAGATTTAACATTGAGTTATTCTGACTTCATAAAATGAATTGGAACACTTTCTGTATTTGTCTATGGTCTAATGTTATTAAAATTATATTTTTTTAAAGATTAAGAATCTGCTGAGGACCCAGCTGGTCTTGATGCCTTTTTCTATAGTAGATTTTTAATTACCTTTAATTTATGGTATTTGGTTTTACTCAAGGATTCATTTCTCTTGGGTCAATTTTGGATATTTCTTATTTTAATGGGAAATCATTCTTGTCTTTTTAGGTTTTCAAATGAATTGCCATGAAATTACATCTGTGTTGTCTTAGTTTTGTTTTCTTAGTTCTCTCCTGTACTTATGGTTGTATTTCTCTTTTCATTCTGAATCTTGTGAGTTTTCACTCTCGGTCTTTTTCTTTTTCACTCCCTTATTAAAAACTCTGAGTGATTATCTTTCAAAGAGCTAGCTTTTAGACTTATTTATCCTTTCTCTAACATCTTTACTTTATGTTAATACCAAACACTAGCTCTTAGTTCCTCTTCTTAGTTTACTTTGACATATTTTGTTATTTTTCTATTTTCTTATCTATTGAGTTTCCCCTCCCTTGCCTTTTAAAAATATTGAAAGCCTTTAAGGCCGTGAGCTTAGTCCTGAATACAAATTTTGCTGGGTCAATTGGGTTTTAATTATCATTCTGTTTTTTTCTTATAGCTTACTATGTAGATCATAATTTCCCTTTTGATTTCCTCTTTGATCCAAAGATTATCTAAAATCACCTTGTAGTTTAAAAGTATGTTTGTACATTTTTCTTAATTTTTTAGATTATATATCTCTGAAATTAGTTAAAACTTTCATTATGACCATGTTTATGATGGATCATGGTACTGGACATAGGAAAAAAACATCTGTTCTTTGTTAGAGGGTTACAAGGTATCTTTTGTATCTTTAAAAAATTATGTTTACTGGGGCAGCCCCGTGTTGTAGTGGTTAAGTTTGGCTTGCTGCACTTTGGTGGCCTGGGTTTGCAGGTTCTGATCCCAGGCGTGGACCTACACCACTCATCAAGCCATGCTGTGGCAGTGACCCCTATACAAAATAGAGGAAGACTGGCACAAATGTTAGCTCAGGGATAATCTTCCTCAAGAAAAAAAAAGAGGAACATTGGCACCAGATGTTAGCTCAGGGCCAATCTTCCTCAGGAAAAAAAATCAGAATTATTGATAATATATTTAAATTTCTGATTTTTTTCTTCTTTCGAACTGTAGTTATCCATTGTAAAAGATATACTGAAATAACTCAGTATATTTGTTTTTGTTTTTGTTTTTGCTGAGGAAGATTCGCCCTGAACTAACATCCATCTCCAATCTCCCTCTTTTTGCTTGAAGATTTGCCCTGAGCTGACGTCTGTGCTAATCTTCCCATTTTGTATGTGGATCGCTGCCACAGCATGGCCACCGGAAAGTGATGTAGGTCCACACCTGAGAACCAACCCAAGGCCACTGAAGTGGAGCATGCCAAACTTAGCCACTAGGACATGGGGCTGGCCCCAGTATATTTGTATTTTTTATTTTTATTTTTTTTGTGTGAGGAAGACTGGCCCTGAGCTAGCATTTGTTGCTAATCTTCCTCTTTCTTTTGCTTGAGGAGGGTTCTTCCTGAGCTAACATTTGTGGCAATCTTCCTCTATTTTCTTTTTGTATGTGGGACACCACCACAACATGGCTAGAGGAGCCGTGGGTAGGTCCACGCCCAGGATCCGAACCCGCGAACCCTGGGCCACTGAAGCAGAGTGCATGAACTTAACCAATATGTCACCAAGCCAACCCCATTTGTATTTTTAAAAATAAAATTATTAAAGTTCTAATAAGCATTGCTTTATTACTTGCTATGTTATTTGGTATATACAGTATATCTTGGTCATAAACTATGTATATTTTCTAATTGTATAATCTTTCTCTTTATCTAAGTACTTTTGACCTTAAAATTATACCTTGGCTGATACATATTTCCCTGCAGTTACTTGAAAACAAAATACTGTTTTCTCCAGAAAGATGCTCATTTTTTCCCCTGATGTCTCCTTGACCTTGAAAAGATGAGACCTTTAGAGTACTTTTATTTTATGCCTCTCTTTCTTTTTCCACTTATCCTCTCCTTCCCGGTCAGATCTCGAGAGTACTTTTACGTCTCCTTACTTCCATCTAACCTGCCTACAACTCTTTTATTTTGAATAAATAACTTAGCACATCTTCTATAGAAATCCATTAACATTCTTTTGTGATCTAGTCCTTTTGTTTAAAGAGTCCTTATTTATCATATAAGTTGTACATTCCTAGACATTCGGTTATTACCTGTGTATTATGTAATATAAACTGAAAGTTTCATTGCTTATAATATTACTCTTTTCATCTTCCCTGTTACCACATCTCTATTCTGGTTTATTTTTTCTTAGTTAGAACTCTTTCTCAATTATTTTACTCATTTTGGGGACCTGAGAAAATACACTCTCTAAATTCTTGCATATTTGCAATTTTTTTAATATACCAAAATATAAGCTTTGTTAATACAAAATTCTTTTCTCGCTGTCATTTATGAATGTTATTCAACTTTCTCTTTTGTTTTTTTAAAGTATAACAGATGAGAAGTCCAGTGAGGAGCTGATCCCATATCTTTTATAGGTTACTTGCTTTTATAGCCAGGAGCTTGAATGTGATCCAGCAACCGTGGCGTTTTATCCCTAATACCATTTAATATACATTTTCTATTGTTATAATGCTCTCCTTTTTTTATTGTGGTAAAACATACATAATATAAAATTTACCATTTTAACCATTTTTAAGCATACAGTTCAATGGCATTAAGTACATATACATTGTACAACTTCACTGCCATCCATCTCCAGAACTTTTTCATTTTCCCAAACTGAAACTCCATACCGTTAAACAGTAACTCCCCGTTCCCCCTCCTCCAGCCCCTTTCAAGCACCATTTGATTTTCTGTCTCTTTGAATTTGACAACTCTAAGTACCTCATATAAGTGGAATTATACAATATTTGACCTTTTGTGACTGACTTATTTCGCTTAGTGTAATGTCTTCAAGGTTCATCCATGTTATTATGTAAGAATTTTTTCTTCCTTTTAAAGGCTGAATAATATTTCATTATATGTATATACTACATCTTTTTAATCTATTCATCTATTGATAGTTTGTTTCCACCTTTTGAAAATTGTGACTAATGCTCCTATGAACATGGGTTTACAAATATCTTTTCGAGTCCTTGCTTTCACTTCTTTTGAGTATATACTCAGAAGTGGAATTGTTGGATCTCATAGTAATTCTATGTTTCATTTTTTTGAGGAACCACCATACTGTTTTCCATAACACCTCATTTACCAGCAATACACAAAGATTTCATTTTCTCCACATCCTTGCCAATACTTGCTATTTTCTGGTTTTTTGATGATAGCTTCTCTAATGAATGTGATTTTAATACACATTTTTATTTAGTCCTTAAACTTTTTTAAAACATGAAAAAAGAAATGTCAATTAAAAAGAAGAATCTGTCTTCTATGCCAGGAGGGCTCTGTGCCATTGAACCTGAGAGGAGAGAATTTCTATAGCACCTTGTTTGTTTGGTCTTCTGCCCTTAGAATAGTTTGTTTTTATCGACTATTTTAAGCCCATTTATATCTGAAATATAAATAACATAAATTCAGTGATTTGCAGTTACATATGTCTGTGTCAGTGATTTAATCTCAGTTTTCTCATCTGTGAAATGAGGGTCTTTGGTGATTTACTTCCTAGATTGTCTGATTCAGTTGTAGCATGGTCCTCATACTTACAGAATGTGGGTCAGGATTGCTCCAAGGCGTGTACCAGCCCTCCGTAGATTGTGGAAGTCCTCCCTTTCTAGTTTATCTGCTTCTCATACATACATGTTAAAGGCCAGCAGCACAGGTCTACTTATTCCGTAAACATACCTCATAATCTTCTTTAACTGTTCCTTTCCTGGACTCTTTCCTCTGCTGATTCACACCTCCCTTCACACCTTGGTTTGGTGAAAATCTTACTCTAATCTTCAGATAACAGCTGAGATCTCACTCAAAGTCTTCCCAGTTCTCTGTAACCTAGGTTAATTTCTAAATTGTTACTCTCAAAACTTTGTATTTTTAGTCTTTTCACATTATGCCTTTTATTAGAGAGGTGTTTGTGTGTGTGAGATTTTTATTTCACTCTCCCCCACAGTTTAATAAGCTCCTACACTATTAGGACTGTATCTTACTCATATTATGACCTTATGCCTATGCCAGGGCAAGTAGATAGTTAGTATATTTTAACTAAATTTGAGCAAGAGTGAAAAATGTGTATTGACCAATAGTTTTGTGGCTTGGTATTGCTATTTTGCCTAGGAAATGGAATCAACAAGGTTTTCAGTAGATTTTCTTTGTACTTTATATCTACTTTTTTGGGACAGGTATTTCTTAAGTCAGTAAGAAAATTAACGACAACAGGAGCTTCATTAAAACTACAATTTAGGATATGCAAATATGAATGATTCCTAACTTTACCCTGTACATTTCACATATATCATTAGTCACTGTTAGACATTTTGGTTTTGCTTAATATAATTCATTGCTGAATGGGTATTTTAATGTGAGAGTTTTTGACATCAACATTTTTAACTTTTGTCTAATTTGTAATCTTAACTTTGAGTTAATGGAAATATTGCTTCTATAGATTGTGGTTTGAAACTGCTAATAAGTTCATTCAGTTATATGATCTTTAGCTCCTAAACCATGAAAAGTAGATTGCATTTTTTGTTAAGATCTATGTCTGAATTGAAAGTGGTCAAAGTGTCTGAGTGGTGAATAAAGCAGTAGAATGCTAATCAGAAGATAGAAATACTGGACTGACTGACTCCATTAACTTACACTGTGTTCAGTAATCTAAATGCACCATGGATGGTCATCTCTCTTTTAAATTGGTAGTAATAGCCCCTGCTGCTTGACAGTTTGTGAAGTCCTTCACCACTTAAAAAATGTTTTAACTTCTTGTAGCCCTTTGAAGTAGTTATCTATTAACCTTGTTTGATAACGGCGATTGAGGCTTGGAGAAATTAAGTCACTCAAGATTGGCTGGCAATAAAATAAGTAACATACTTGGAACTGCACCTGAGAATTTACCCTACAGTTAAGACCTTTAGCTGCAATCATGCTGAGGTGTGTTTTTTATCCATAGGTTTCTATGTAAATGCACTGATATTATTATCATAAAGCTATCTTGAATATCACTATACTATATATCTACCATTACATTTTTTAATGTTTCCCTGGGTGGTGTCTATTGACAGATTGAACATCAGGGTATGATTTTCATTACTTTTTCCAAGAGAATAATTTTGAAAGCTCTCAATATAGTATTTTTCTATTTTTAAAATTTTGCTTCAAAACAATGTTTCATTTCAAAATTGCAAAATAATTTTGTAAAACATGATCAGCTGATGTTAATTATTAATATCCTTAAGTTATTTAATTAAAATTTCTATTCAACACTTGATTAATAAATATTTCTAAATTTTCCTTCTTTATTCTACAGAATGGTAAATAACGCTGATCATCTCTAGAAAGGATATTGCTTAACCTCATGTAAAGTATGCTCAGTTCCTTTCCAGTGGTGTAAGTATCTAGTCCTTTGCTTAATTTTTATCTTCTGAATTGTTTTAATAAAGTTAAGAAATCATTATGATTATGATCTCAAAATGACAGCAGACATTTGTAGAGTTGAAAGAGTTTTTTCATAATCGTGTGATAAAGAATGAATTTTCAAATCTATCAACTTTCTCTTTGACCATTTCTCTTTTCAACTTTGAAGTCTGACACTGATTTTCGGTTGAACGTAAAATTACTCTACTTATTTTAAACTGCTTAATAGCCTAGAAACTTGTGAAATACATGGCTAACCATTCAGAAGAGCTCGTGTTAGATTCCTTGTGACAGGCAAAATACTGAAAGCATTTTACCTTAATAATGCTTTTTGTGTGCAAACTTCTAAGCACCCTGGCCATTTTACTTTACCTACTGGGCATAATAATGTAGTCAAGCCTGTTAACTAATGTGGTTGGTAGCCTTTCTTTGGAGTTGGGCAAAACATACAAATTGAGATGGTGGTATTATGTTGAGAGTTGTTTTGTGCTAGGATATGAACTAACCACTAGTTCATAGTAAATAGACCTTTGAAAAAAAGTATTGTGGGAATTTCAGATATTAGAGAATCTATTAGCTTATTAAGTGCATCTTTAGAGTGTAATGCAGAGTTCCTTTAGCATAAGTATTTTCTAAAATTTGGTACAGTCTGTGTTTCGATTAAATTCCTTCCATTTGGGGCCGGTCTGGTGGCATGGTGATGAAGTTCATATGCTCCGCTTTGGTGGCCCAGGGTTCACAGGTTTGGATCCCAGCCATGGACCTAGACACTACTCATCAAGCCATGCTGTGGTAGTGTCCCAAATACAAAGTAGAGGAAGATTGGCACAGATTAGCTCAGGAACCATCTTCCTCAAGTGAAAAGAGGAAGATTGGCAACAGATGTTAGCTCAGGGCCAATCTTCCTCACAAATAAATAAACAAATTCCTTCCATTTTAGTTGACAGTTCTATAATGCAGTAAGTAGACATTAAGATAGATTTTCCTTATTATTTAGGTTTTCGTTCAGTTTTTTCCTCCTTATTGACTCTGTCATATATCAAAAAGGCTCTGGAATAGTCTCAAGTGATGTGAACTCAAAGTCATGGCACTTCATCACTTTCAGCCTTAATTTCCCTTTTTTTTCTTTTTATGATTTATTTGCTAATGGCTGTTCTCAATAGTCGGTAGAGTGTAAGCATCATGAGGCCAGGAATTTTTGCTGATTTGTTGCTTGTTGTGTCTTCTCTGCCTTGTACATGGTCTGACAACAGGGGGCACTCAATAAATGTCAGTTGAAAGAATGATTTTTATCTAAGTGGTCTCCAATTCTCTGATTCCACACCTAATTTATATCTCCCTCTATAGATTTACATATTTTTACTTGGATTTTTTTCCAAACATGTATAAGGTGGCTGCAATTAAATCTCAGTCTTAATCAGTCGTAATTTAAAAATAACCATTAAAATGTGATTGGCACATTGGAATATAAATCTTATTTTTCTAGAAGTATTTTTATTATGAGAAGAACATTTTTATGTTGTTGTCTATTGTCATAGCCTCTATTCTTTTGCTTTAGTCTGTTCTCCTATTGGTTTGAATTATAGAATCATTTTATTATACTGTCAAGCTCAGTTCCCAGTAAATCTTCATTTCTTTACTTATTCTCACTTCTTGTCATTTTCTTACTTTAAGACTGCCACTTCTATGATGATAATAATAATTGTGAAAGAGGGTAGTGTGCCACAAATAGTAAGAAGGGCCTGAGTACATCTTTAGTTGATGAGTATTATGATTGACTATAGAATGTGTTAAATCATCTTGCAGTAAATATCATGTATGCAAAACAAAACTAACTTATGACTAGGCCGTACTTTGCTTAGTCATTCTAGACAAAAAGATAAAGACAGCAGAATCAAGCTGAAGAAAATGTTGTGTTATCCAATAAAATCTTTTTAACTGTTCACGCTTTGCAAGTAAGATAGTAATGTCATTTTTGTGCATGTGATTTCAAGAGTAATCATTTATGCATTCTTTAACCTTCTTTGCTCTATGTGTTTGTAGAATTTAGTTTAAGAAAGAATGTTCTGGACCTCATGCCTTATCCAAGATGGGTTTAGTACATATGCAAGTAGGGATACAATTTATTGTAAAATAGGCTTACTATTATGGTCCAATAGCGTGGTCTTTTAAAACATCAGTTTATGAACTGAGTCATAATTCCTGAATTTAATTGTTCTTTTATGCTTTAAACATTGTCTGTGTTATTGCTGTGTCAAAATTCTTCTCACATCGCTTTCAATTGTTGGCCTGAGTCTGCATTCAGATTAGTAATTTAAAGTGAAAGATGTTCCTTATCCTGTGAACAGTCCTTTGCTACATGAGAAAATTAATTCAGTTCTTACATGTTATCTCTTTCTGTTATAAAAGAATTGCTGGTATCATGGACTTAGATGACCTTTGTAGGTCACATACTGCCATAATTTCATGATTATGTGCTTAAACTAGATAAATTATGAGAAATAAAATTTGGAAATGACAGAATGTATGCCTTTGTTTATGTTAATGCACATTGGAATATTATTCTCAATATCCAAGAAAGCTTCTAATCTTGGCATTTTCTCAGTAAAATATTGTACCTTCAGTGTCATATGCATGATTTGATCCTGCTCCTTATGCCATTATCAATCTACTCTATAATGATCATACATTTCATTCTAGCAATTGTAGATGTTTTTACTTTAGGTATATCTTTTATTAGGGACCTCTCGGTGCAAGGCACAGACATCTAATTTAAACAAAGTGAAGCATAAGGGAAAATTTATGCTGTTAAATAACAATACAACAAGAAAAGCAAGGTTGTAGCAGGAGCTTAGGAATTGCTAGAACGAGGGATATGAACACTGCAGAGCTTTCTCCTTTGCTCTGCAGTACTTGATACATCTGCTGTTTTCTCCTACAAACTAGCTTCTTCAACATGGTGAGGAGTGTACCCAGATTAACATCTTCCCACAACTCAGCGCAGTTACAGTGACCTCCATCTTCCCATTAGTCTAACTTGAATATTTTGAGGAGGGCAAGGCTTAGATTCCTTTTGTGCCCACCCCGTTGGCCAGGAGGTAGAGTATTATTAGTGGCAGCCCCAAGGACGAGTGGTGGGAAACAATGAGCCTTTCTAGGCAGACAAAATAATAGGTGCCTTCTATTATCTCCTTTTATGACTTTTGGAATAAAAGTGGTTCCCATCATCAGTGAATCTGAAACGACATGAAATATTACATTGTTTTAGGTACTGTGGACTCTTTAGTTGTGATAGTTCTACTACAAGCTTTAGGATAGATATGTTTCTTCATCTATTTATATTCTTATATTCATATAATTTATTTTAGTTTTATGCCAGTGTACAGAGTGCTACCCCCTACAGAGAGAGTTTTGAAGAGTTATATACAAATTACTATCTGCTCTGATATAAATAGGATAGGAAAATATCATGATTGTTGTTTTTTTGTGTCCATATAATAAAACAGTTCTTGGAGTCTCATATCTAAAGTAAAGTCAGTTTATGAAGTATTTTGAAAGCATAAAGAAGGAAGTGAGCAGTGGACAGGTCTACTTCATTGTCAAGGGGAAAGAATAATGTATAGAAACCTCAGTTTACCAAATCAAAAAACTAAGGGCTAAATTATTTGGATTACTAAAGGTGTTCAACAGCTGCTTTTAGAAAGAACTTCCTAGGATTTAGGATTAATATATTACTAAGCACTTAAAAGAGTTGACAAAGGGCTGAGGGTTAAAAGAGAAACTAAAGTGTTAAGTATCTGTTATAAGTCATTAGGAAAATGTTCACATAGATTCTTCAACAAACTTTAAGTATAATATACCTACTGAAGAATGTAGAAATCAGTAGTGTACAGCTTGGTGAATGTTCATAGTGAATGCACCTGTGTTGTAATGTAACTAGCATAGAACATAGAACAGTACCAATACTGCATAGCATTTTAATAATAAATCGTTTGTGTTGAGCAAAGTATACTGTTCTTTTGAAATTGGTCAGGAGAAAAAGTAAACAAGTTACTCTGGTTGAAAGTTTTCTCTTCTCTCCCAACCAGATGATAATATATTATGGGGGATAGGGCCATCCTGGTAGGGTGGTGGTTAAGTTTGCGTGCTCTGCTTTGGTGGCCCAGGGTTTATGGGTTCAGATCCCGGGGGTGGACCTACACACTACTCATCAAGCCATACTGTGGCCACATCCCACATACAAAGTAGAGGAAGATTGGCACAGATGTTAACTCAGTGACAATCTTCCTCAAGCAAAAGGAGGCAGATTGGCAACAGATGTTAGCTCAGGGCCAATTGTCCTCACCAAAAAAAAAAAAAAAAAAAAGTAAGGGGCGGAGGAGTGGCCTGGTGGCGTAGTGGTTAAGTTGGTGCGCTCCGCTTTGGTGGCCCGGGGTTCACCAGTTTGGATCCCGGGAGTGAACCTACATACTGCTTATCAAGCAATGCTCTGGCAGGCATCCCACATATAAAATAGAGTAAGATGGGCACAGATGTTATCTCAGGGCCAATCTTCCTCAGCAAAGCGAAGAGGATTGGCAGCAGATGTTAGCTCAGGGCTAATCTTCCTCAAGAAAAAAAAAATATTATATTTATATATATATATAAATAAAAATGGGGGTATATTAAGCTAACAAGAAAATTAGTGTAGTACAATTTTAATAGCCAAATAATTTGGAATAGCTAATAATTGGAAACAGTCCAAGTGTCTAAAATATTCCTACAGTGAAGTACTGCTCTGCAGTAAAAAGGAACAAACTGCTGATACAACATCATAGATGAATCTCAAAAACTTTCTGCTAAGTGAAAGAAGCCTTACACAAAAGAGTACATAGAAATTCCATTTCTATGAAATTCTAGAACAGGCAAAACTAACCTATGGTGGGAAAAACATCTGAGCAGTGGTTGCCTCTGAGGGAAGGGACAGGATTGACCAGGAAGGGGCATGAGGGAACTTCCTGGAGTGACGGTAATATTCTGTATCTTCATAGGGATTTGCGTTTCACCGTGCATGCACTTCAAAACTCATGGAATGGTAAACACAAGATTTGTGTATTTTCTTTTATGTAAATTTTACCTCAGAAGAAAAAACCTGAACAAATACTGAACTCTAGTTAATGACATGCATGTGGAAGTATTAAGGAGGAAGTATACAGATGTCTGTAACTGATTTTGAAATGCATCAAAAAATAAGATGAATAGGGGCCAGCCTGGTGGTGCAGCGGTTAAGTTCACACATTTTACTTCAGCGGCCCAGGGTTTGCCAGTTCGGATCCTGGGTGTGGACCTATGCACTGCTTGTCAAGTCGTACTGTGGCAGGCATCTCACATATAAAGTAGAGGAAGATGGGCACAGATGTTAGCTCTTCCTCAGCAAAAAGAGGATGATTGGCAGCAGATATTAGTGCAGGGCTATCTTCCTCAAAAAAAAAAAAAAAAGATGAATAGCGAGATGGATGGATAGATATGTTGTAAAGCAAGTAAAATGTTAATGGTAAAATCTAGGTGGTTAGGATATGGGTATTCACACTGTAAATTTCTTTCAACTTTTATGTATGGTTAAAAGTTTTCATTATAAAATTTAGGAATGAAAAAACTTGGCAATCAAGACAATGTAATAATCATGAAAATACGACTTGTATGATGGATAGCTTACACAAATGAATATTCTAAACAAGCAGAAGATAATATGTATATGTATAAAGCAGATACTGTGGCCCATGGGCTCAAATGGACTGCAACATGTTATTTTGGTCCAAAAAATGTGTTTGTTTTTATTTTTATTGAGCCTGTCTCTAAAACTAGAGCAATTTCACATAAAAATTCTAGATGTCTGCCGGCTTATTTTTTAAAGTATTTGAAAGACAAAACAATCAGTGGTAGAATAGAGAGTCCAAAGGTGGTACAAGTTTATGTGGAAATTTTGTACATATATGATAAATGTGGCATTTCAGATCAGAGAAGAGACATATTACTCAGTATAGTATATTGGACAACCAGCTATCCATTTGGGAAAAAATAAAGCTCAAATCCTTTCACACTCATTAAGTAACTATAAATTCTAGATAGAGCAAACATTTTACATATAAAATAGTATTACTAGAGTACCCAGTCCATCAATAGAGTGGTTTTTAAGTGATTTTTTTTTTTTTTTGAGGAAGATTAGCACTGAGGTAACATGTGCTGCAACCTTCCTCTTTTTGCTGAGGAAGACTGGCCCGAGCTAACATCCGTGGCCATCTTCCTCTACTTTATACGTGGGATGCCTACCACAGCACGGCTTGCCGAGCATGTGCCATGTCCGCACCCGGAATCCCAACCGGCGAACCCCAGGCCACCGAAGCGGAATGTGTGCACTTAACTGCTGTGCCACCAGGCTGGCTTTTTAAGTGATTTTAACTGGAGACCTAAAAGAGTGAAAAATGCCTATGTCCCAAATCATATGATTCCAGTAAGCCTTGCCATGTATTGGAAAGCAAAATGATGTATGCTTTTGGAGTCAGTAAGATCTTTGAATCTTTTTTTCTGTTTCTTTTTTTTTTTTCTTTGCTGAGGAAGATTCACCCTGAGCTAACACCTGTTGCCAATCTTCCTCTTTTTTTGCTTGAGGAAGATTTGCCCTGAGCTAACATCTGTGCCTGTCTTCCTCCATTTTATATGTGGATCGCTGCTGCAAAATGGCTGCTGACAAGTGGTGCAGGTCCATGCCTGGAGACCGAACCTGGGCCGCCAAAGCGGAGTGCCCAAATTTAACCACTAGACCACCGGGTCGGTCCCTCTTTTTCTACTTCTTAATCAGACTCTTTGCAAGGTATAAAACCACTCTGAGCCTTAGTTTCCTCAACAAATCAATCAATATAAAATTGTTAAAAAATTACCACAGAGAGTTGTGAGGATTAGATGAGATTACATTATATGAAACTCTTCCCCAATACCTGCCTAGAAGTAAATATTCAATAAATTTTTAGTATAGAGGGATGAAGAAACCAGTCTCCAACAGCTTAGGGGAACTAGCCCAGAGCAGATGTTTACCTGTAAAGGATGAGAAAATTCCTTTATTTCCATCAGCAAATAATTATTGAGAGCCTACTGCATGCCATGCATCCCATTTGGCACTAAAGCTATAAAAATAAAAATAGGAAAATTACCACTTTAAAAAATCTTAAATAGGAAAATCAGATTTTATAAAAAAGGAATTTTAGTGAGAATTTTTATGATATTTGACAACTCTTTTAAACTTAATATTGTTATTGACTCTGGACATTTTCTGGTGTGCTACAGTATCTTGTGTTAAAGGAAACATAATGTAGAAGGAATTTCCTAAGAAAAATGAATAGTTCAGTTTGGCTGCAAACGCAAAAGATCCATTTCTCAGGATAAGTATTTGACAATGCATTATAGAGATGAAATACAAAATTCCTAAGTGGTGGGTAAAATGGTACTTACTAAGGTTTTTTATGTACCTCTCTTACTTTTCTATTAAATATTTTTGCTGATTATTAATATTTGCTTGAGCTTAGCTTACCAAATCGTTTGTTTACACTAAATGAAGTTATAGAGCTCCTAGGTCAATTTTGCTGATATTTAGTAAAACAAGATAATATAAACTATTTTTTCAGCAACTTTCCATTAATACTCTAATGTAGAATAATAAATTTGAGATGGAAAAATTACCTGTGAGCCTAGGCTTAAGACTGTATGCATCTAATCTGTCATTTTGGTATTATTGCTCTAACTGAAATTTTGGTTCAGATATTTACCAGAATGAGGAAAATGTAAATTGTCTGCCATATGAAATTAGATTTTATGTTGTATCAAATGTCAGTCTGCTAATAAAGTCAATATCTGTACCAGCCCATTGCCATGACAAAAACATTCGAGCATGGAGTAATAGTTATTATTGTTATTATAATATAATAATAATGTCTTAATCATTTTTAGTAAAGAAGTTGATGTACAAGTGTTACATCGTCTTCTGAGCATTGTCTGTAATGATATGTTGTTTGGTAGATGTGGTAAATAAAGGAAATTTTTTTAATCTTTCTTTTTAGTTTGCTGGAAACCATGTCTCACTATACAGATGAACCCAGATTTACCATAGAGCAGATAGATCTGCTTCAGCGCCTTCGACGTACTGGAATGACTAAACATGAAATTCTTCATGCCTTGGAAACTTTGGACCGTCTTGATCAAGAGCATAGTGACAAGTTTGGAAGAAGGTCCAGCTATGGAGGAAGTTCATATGGGAATAGTACCAACAATGTTCCAGCATCTTCCTCTACAGCTACAGCTTCCACACAGACACAGCATTCCGGAATGTCCCCATCACCTAGCAACAGTTATGATACCTCCCCACAGCCTTGCACTACCAATCAAAATGGGAGGGAGAATAATGAGCGATTGTCTACATCCAATGGAAAGATGTCACCAACTCGCTACCATGCAAACAGCATGGGTCAGAGGTCATACAGTTTTGAAGCCTCAGAAGAGGACCTAGATGTAGATGATAAAGTAGAGGAGTTAATGAGGTTAGTTGCTTTGCTTATTCAGAGTCCCCAAAATGTCTATATTCTTAGATTGATTTTGAGTAATAAGCTATATTTCAGCTACTTATCTATAAGAACTGTGATTTATCCCTCACCTCTTTGGAGATGAAAGAAAAAAATTTCTAATTTTATGGTTTTAATTCAAATTTTCTCTTCTTTACTTCAGCCCTTTCTCTTTGCTGCTTGATAAGCCTTTTCCATTTTCTCTGTCAAAGCAAAGGTTTGCCCTCTCTTTATGGGTCTAATTGCTAACGTCTGAATTTTCTGAGTTGTTAACAGATATGTTCTAATCTTTAAATCTATTGTAAGTATCTTTCTTAGGGATAAGATGATTTCATCATGATACAGATTGTGTACACTGTTAATTTTTCCCTCCATCATACCAATCAACAAAATAATTTTGAGCAACTATTATATAAAAAGTAGTGTTCTTAGGAAGGAAAATAGACATGGTTTCTACCCCTAAGAAGCTAAAGTTCTAATTTTAGCAATAGATGCCATATATATATATATATATATATAATTTTTTAAATGTTATCTATTACAAGATAAGTGTAAGCACTTGCAGTTTAAAACACAGAGAAAAGAAGAAGTCCACTTTCAACAGAGGTCCTTAGGAAAGGCTTGACACTGGACCTGGGACACTCTGAGGGCAGCAACCATGTGTTTTGATTGCTGTGTCTCCAGGATCTAGAACTGTCCTTGGCACATGGTAGGGGCTTAGTATGTTAAGTGACTGGATAAATTTGAGCTAAACCTTAAAGGATAGGCTCTGTTTTGGAATATAGGAACTCTACTTAAAGTTAAGGGAATATTAAAAGGTGGAAAAGGCAAGGCATGTTTAGTCTTATAAAGATTGCAGATGGGCTAGACTCTCGTAGTAAGAATAGTGTATTATTAGACAGTATAGGTCTTGAAAGATCTGAGTTCCATACAAATAATTTATGTTTAATTTGGTTGGAATTAAGGAGTTTTTACGGTCTGTAGGAAATAGAGATGATAAAAGCATTGTTTTCAGTAATTATCACTACTGTAGTAGGGGGAGAGACTACAAATGGATTAGTTACAGTAGATAATGAAAGAAACTGTAGCAGGAATTTGTCAGAAATAGAATTAAAACCTATAATTATGAGTTATATTTCTTCTTAAAGATTTTGAAACTTGAAGATAATATAATGGTAACTTAATATCGTCATAAGGTCTATCCTATAGTATGCAATAGTGAAAAATCTTTTAAACAAACTGTCCTGCAACTATTTTTAGGGTAGAACTGCCTTATATAGAACTGTAGGCTAAATGGGCTATTGTATCTAGATTCCAATGTAATTCCTGTGATGAATAGTTTCATAGAGCAGCCACAAGACCCTATTATTTAACCTTTTAAAACTTAAAAATAAAGAGATCAATTTGGCTTTGAATTCATTTTCACTTGTTAAAGCAGCTGGCCAAAGTTCAGATGTTCCTTTCGAATTTAACGTGTTTAAGAGCGAGAACCATTTGGGCAAATAGAAGTTACTTCAGTCATAGAATTCAGTCATTAAAATATAATAAGATTAGCTTTTAATTATCTTGAGTAGAGAGGATATAAACAAAAATTTATTTCTGAGGATGCTTGCCTGTCTTTTTGTTGTTGCTGCCATTAATTAGTTTCGATATGACTTTTAATATAACAGTTAATTCCCAAACATGTGTTAGACTAACAGGAAGTCTGGGAAAACTTTCTTTTTAACAAAGGCCTGGAAGATTGGCCAGGGTCTGAAAACTTGACTATTAACTCTTAGGTTGTCATAATGATATACTTCATCTGTGTTCTTAAAGAGAAAACCTATTTAGCAATGATTAGGATTTGTAGTTAAATCCCACAGTTACACACATTCAAGTTTCTCTGTTAAATAGATACATGTTCATGCATTGTTATCAGTGATTTACATGTTGCCGCCTGTTATATAGTTAGGACGTTTTATCTTCTTCCTTTCCTTTGCTTCTTTCTTAGAACTGCTGTCTTGGTGTCCTCTAATCGTCTTGGGGTCTCATTGAATCTTCTGGCTGTGCCCTAAGCCACACCTGCACTACTCCTCTATGCACACCTCTAGTTTTTCTCAAGTTGCAGATAGCAACAATCCTTGGGTCGGAGGGAGAAGCTTATTGCATGACTGTTCTCACTTTTAATCATTACAGCCATGCTGTATGTGAGGTGGAGCAGAGAAATTGAGATTCACAAAAATTAAATAATTGGCCCAAGAAAACTTAAATATTAAGTCACAGAGCTTGAATTCTAACCCGTGTCTTTATTACCAATGTGTTGCTGCTATCTGTTGCCTCTGTAAATAAATTTTTCATGTCTGTAAATTTCAATAAGATTTTAGGAATGGTGGTTAATGTAACTCAACACAAAGTGTGAATGCCTTAATGGGCTTATCCTTTCCCCCCAACATGATGTTTGCCACTTCAAATCAATCACTTACTAACCAAATGAATTTTTATTTGGTAGATTGTCAGAGAAATTCTTGAGCAGTGGATCTTTCTGAGTATCCTATGTCCACATAGGGCTATCCTGCCCTTGCTGATCACTGAACACTATGATGATATTATAGTGGGTTGGATTTGGTGATCTCTAGTTGGGGAAAATGGGTACCTGAATGCCTTCTTGCCTCCTTTTCTATGTATATCATATGTAATTCACCTCTTGCATGGTCACATTCCCTAACCACTCAACCATAAGATATATTTTTCAAATCTTATAACCCACTGAGTCCACAATCTTAACTCCTAACAATTTCAAGGTACACGAAGGAGAGTTTTGGTGCTGTTTTATTGTTTCGCTTTGTTTGTTTGTTTGTTTTGGTTGAACTTGATTAGGTTATAACTATACACCTGATCAACTTAAAGAATCAGAAAGAAACTGCTACTTTTTCTGTTTTTTAATTGATCAGGGTAAAAAAGAGAAAGGGAAACTAGAATGTGAATTCTCAACAAATTATTGAATATAATATTTTAGGAAGGACTTTAAAGCCAAGAGCTGGAATGAAGACTCATTTTACATGTTAATATTTTTTAAATACATCTATTAATATATATATTTATATATAGGTATATATGTACATCTGCTAATAGCATACATCTATTAAAGTACCTCTTCTATTGTGTATATATTGTAAAATAACAGTTGAAATGAGGCTTATCAGAATTAGTAAACAATGCTGTATATTAAAGATGTTATTCTTAACTACCCATGTACTAAATTTTATGAGTATGTTAGTTAGTATTTTATACAAGATTCTGAGACTTTCTTCTGAGTTGGTTATGTATATGCCTAACAATGGGTTATTTACTTGTATAGGAAGGTATTTATGTTCTATAGGTCAAAATATTGTTATGTTGTTTATACATATAGAGTAGCTTTTCTTTTAAAGTTATCCTTTAAATTTTTACATTATGCTTTATCTTCATGGGTAGATATTGAAGGGAGAAAGTTTTTATTCAAACGTGAAAGAATTTGTATATAATTATATTTTTCCACCTGTGAAATAGTCTGTCTTAGTAGGCATTACTCTATCACTGGAAGTCTTTGAGATGGCTACCTTTAAGAGGTCCTAAAGAATGTGGAGTGTATATCAACCAAGAGAATACAGAAGATCTTAAAAACATACCACTTTTAAACATGTAGTCTTTAATATCCTGTGTTCCAGAAAAGGAAGCATTGCTATTTCAAGCTGGCATAAATAACTGTTTTCCTTTCTGATTTGGGAAGCTTAAACATGTTTGAGATTAAGAATTTAGAGCTGTTTTATAAATTATCTAGATCAGGTTTTCCATTTTACAACCTTTTATCTTACAACTACAGATTTGTTCATTCATTGAACAAATTAAGCTCTATTATACTCAATCCCCATGATGAATAAGATACAATCTTTGTGCTAAAGGACTTCACAGGCTAGTAGGAGAGACAAGACCAGATCAGGAACAACTGTAATACAGAATAACATGTAATGTATTAGCATGTGAGTAGTATAATTGAAATGGTAAAGTTAGCTATTGGAAGAAAAGATCTTTTTTAACTCTGTGAGCTAAAAAGAAGCTAAAGAAGGGAGAGCTTCTCTGAATAGATAACAAGTAAATTGTGTCTTGAAAAAGACTGATTCCACAAAGAGGCATTACTGATTAATTCATCCAGATATTAAGAAAGGTCTGTAGATAAAAATGGAAAGTTTAGTAAGTTATAAAAATAAGGGCAGTGGAGGGTGGAAAGGAAGAATTTTATCCTCATGTGGAAGTCACCCAGATAGATGGATGAATCCAGCATGGCTGTGATTTGGAAAAGGCAGTAGGAGGAGATCACATGGACTTTAAGTGGTTAGATGCAAATAGAGTGGTAGCTTATCTTGGAAGTCAGCTATGGAGTCAAAGAAAGTCAGCCTACGCTTCACTTTAACTCCATAAGACTTGAGGAGTAGAAATTATGGATGTGAGATTTTATAAAAGAAGGCAGGAAAAAGGAATTCATTCTCTTTAAAGAGGATGTCAGATTTCAGATGAAGAGAGAAAGTAAGAAGATGAGAGAATTACATTTGGTGTAAAATGAAGGAGTTTTCACACCTAGAAACGGGTGATTTCACAGGCTACAAGGCTGGGACAGTAGCAGAGGCCGGTCACTGAAGAAACGTCAATAAGGGGGAACATGTGAAAGTTTAAAGAACAAAGTTAACTCAGTAGAATGGAAGTCTTTGAAATACGTAAGAGAATTGGACACAGTGAAAGTTGAATGCTGTTGCTATTTTGAAAATACCTAGAGAAACCCACTAAATGACATATCACTGCTTGTGTCTAAATTCACTATAGAAATCTTTTATGTTGCCTGGAAGTACCTGATACAGATGTTAATTTCAATCTTGTATAGTTATAGCAGATCATTCTTTTCTTCTTTTCCTGAGATTCTTTCTGGGGTTTTATAAAATAATAGTCATTTATGTAATGCTTTTACAGGTTAAGAAATTTTTACATTGAAGAACTTTTTGTTTTATATGTTATACACACACATTTAATATTAAATTTATTTAAATTTAATTTCACTGCTTGGAGAGAAATTTTAAAAGCCTTATTACGGAGGTATTAATGTTATCATTTTACCAGATGATGAAACTAAGGTCCAGCTTTATTAAGTGACTTTCCTAAGCACACCCTTATCTTTTAAGTCTTAGGCTTTTATTCAATTTGGAAAAGCTTCTCTCTGGTAAAGTGTTGAGTAAAGAAGTATGTTTTTTTTTTTTTCTTTTTAAAGATTGGCACCTGGGCTAACAACTGTTGCCAATCTTCCTTTTTTTTTTTTAAGCATTGGCACCTGGGCTAACAACTGTTGCCAGTCTTTTTTTTTTTTTTCCCTGCGTTATCTCCCCAAGCCCCCCCGGTACGCAGTTGTATATCTTAGTTGCATGTCCTTCTAGTTGTGGGTTGTGGGACGCCACCTCAACGTGGCCTGACGAGCTGTGCCGTGTCCGCGCCCAGGATCCGAACCCTGGGCCGCCGCAGCGGAGCGAGCAAACTTAACCACTCGGCCATGGAGCCGGCCCCTATTTTTCTTTTAATTCATGGTGGGTACTTAAAAACTTGCCACATATCTAAAAATACAGGCTATGAGAGGGTCACTGAATTGCTGCTATTTTGCAGACTTTTGGGGGTTCTTTTTGTCTTGCTGCAGTCCTTGATAATGTTATACTGCAAGACTGTGAATAATTCAGAAACTGGATATTTCCTATTGGGATAATTGACTGTTATCTCCTCTTTATGATTTGGCATCTACTCCAGGTGAATTTGATTTAAAATAAGTTGATTTAAATTCCAATTTAAATCAGTAGTCAAGAAAATACCATTTAATCATTTTCTTGACGAAAGCACATCATTTTTTATTTAGCCTTAAAAAAATTCTCTTCAAGTCAGTTTTCAGTTTCCTAGAAGGACATTCTATAAATTGAAATGCAATGCTTTATTTAAATTTTTTCAGATTAATTTTGCAGCTGTATCAGAAACTAAATGACTTTGTTGTTTTATTTACATAAGCCAATTGAAGTAGATACTGCTGAAGTTCTCTCTTGTTCAACAATTATTGATGGATATTTGCAAGCTGCTTGGTCTGCATTACCTGTATTTTACTCAGCAGTTTATTATTTTGTTTGACTTTAAAATGTGTTTGTGCCTTTTCTTTCAGATACGCAATTTTAAAAATAAAATGAGAATGCATATTTTTCAAAGAAATATTTCAAATGTAAACAAGCATTTTGGAAGGAATTTAGTCAGTATCTAGATCAATGTGAGAAATTTTAAGTTTTGGATTAGGCAGCTGACTATTTTCTTCCTTTAGGAATCTTTTTGAGTAGGATTTCCAAGCAGTAGATTAAGAATATACTGTAGAGCTCCAGATTGGAAGCTGTCTCTTCTTTCACTTCTCATCTCTTTTCTATTCCTAAAAGGGAGCATGAAATCTACCAATAGCATGTATGGCCCCTCCTCATCAAGGGGCTAAAATATCTGCTCTAAGTTAAATCACAGCTGGTTCTTTTTGGATAGGAAACTTTTCTTTCTTTGATCGAAATAATCTATAGAGAGACTTGAGCTCCTGTAAGGAGTTTGTAGTTCATTCACAAAACGATTTGTAAAGATTTCGCGATCCCTTTCTCTCAGATCAGGGGCCAGTAAACTTTTTCTGTAAAGGGCTGGGTGGTAAACGTTTTAGACTTTGTTGACAAAATTCAATATAGAATAATAAAATTGAATATAATTTTTAAAATAGAGGCCTACTAATGAGAAGAATAGAATTTTCAGGGCGGGGGAGATAATATTTTGTTTACTTCATGTTAAGTTAGTGTTCCCTGTTATCAAATTGACTGTAAATGTTCATCTGTGAAAACCATTCTTAGTTCATAGGTTGTATAAAAACAGGTTGGAAGCCAGATTTAGCCTGTGGGCCAAGGGTTGCTGACCCCCGTGTTACATTATAAATTACCACTATTCTGCGTTACTTTTGAGCTTGAACAAAAAATCAGTGCTCTATTTATGTAATCCTTTTGGACGTAAACCATTCAAAGAGAAATTGGTCAGCTTTAAGGGCTTGAGTATAATTTTTACTTAAGTTTTCTGTTTATTCTGGTGGAATCTTGCCATTCATTGTCATTCTAGTGAATGTCGAGTCTTGAGAATCTGTTGAATTTTTAAATAAGTGAAAATTTATGAAGCATCATAGTGGAGGAAAAATTAGGTCTATAATGTATAATCCCAAGGACACAGAATATAGTTTAAAGTATTTTGTGTTACATGTAATAGGAAATTAATAAGTACCTTTTTATGTTAAATTTTATATTCAACCCATCTCACTTAAAATTGTTTTGATTTATACAGGAAGAAGAAGACAAATTAAAAGGCAGAACCTTTCTTAAAATGGCTAATATTTTAGCAGTTGTGAGAATGATGATGATTTCTATTCCTTTAACAAAGGTTTTAAAATGAACTGAACATTACTTATGCAGTTGCATAGTTAACATGCAAACCAAAATCTGCTCACAACTTATTTTTGTCGCTGTTGTTGCTTTTTATTTTTCTAGGATTTCTGTCTGTGTAAGATATATTCATTCCCAGTAATGAAACTTTGTATATACCATATGGCAGCCTTGTTCCTAATGTGAATTATACACAGCATGCGATTAACCATCCTCTGGTATGAGACTTATATCTACTGTGGCATTCACTAAAGTGTCTGTCTGGTGGTGTGATGTTTTAGGACTTGAATATTTGGTGTTTCTTGCTTTGTTTTAATTTCATGTTTTCACACAAGCTTGGTCTGTTTATCTTTATTTTTGTGTCCTTTCTTTCTATGTTCTCCCCACCTCTTTGCTTCACCTTTCTTAGCAAAGATGAGGATTTCTACCTTCAACATACATTGTTGGTCTTGTCTTCTGTTTTTGTTAGGAGGGACAGCAGTGTGATAAAAGAGGAAATCAAAGCCTTTCTTGCCAATCGGAGGATTTCCCAAGCAGTTGTTGCACAGGTAACAGGTAAGAGCTGAAGAGCCCTTTATTCTAGAATCATGTCTAGTCTCTGCCTTCTGGTGCAGATGTTGGAATATTGCTTGCATTTCTGCATTGCAGTGCAGATCTGTCAACTTAGGCATAATAATGTATGCCTGTGATTTAAAACCCATTGTCTCTGATATCATGGAACTTCTCCAGTGATTTTTCTTTTACTTGTGCTAATAAATTTTATAGCATTTGTAATAAGCACAAAATTCATTATTTTATGGCTAAAAAAGGGTTCTCTGGTTTTCTTTTAATTGTGACAGAGCTTATGACACATGCACATCCAACTGCTATCTATAGTTCGTATTTTTAAAAGCTTTGCAGTCCTCCAAATCTAATTCCCGATTTTACCAATTAAAAAATGATTCATAAGAGTAAAAGAAGATGGTTTTTTTTAACCTGGTTTTCTATATGTGAAAGCTTTCCTCAAACCGTTACTGAGAAGATAAGAGTTACCAGTCTTATCTTTGTTCTTTATACCCCATCCCATTACCCACCCCACCACAGCCCTATCCCCAGTGCGTGGTGTATATGTGTCATTCTCTATTCAGATTGCATTTTTTATGAAGTTCTTAAATTGTGGGGAAACATGTCTTTTCTTTGTTAGTATGTAGTCTTCCTTTCTTGGATATCAATGATTTATAAGACCTTAATAAAATCAACAATGCATTAGTCATTAGAGGAACCAGAAACTCTTTCAACATGTTTCAGTTTATACGTCATTGTACGTTGTACAGTCATAGATATGAAAATTAATTTGTTCCTCCCCCTTCTTTTTTTAACATGCACTAGCATCTATGTGACTCTGGGCTTTTTAGCCTCTGTGCCTCAGTTGCTTACCTCTGCAATGAAATTGTTGGATCTGGTCTTCGACAGTATCTTCCAATTTTACAATATTACTTCTGTTCTCTAGACATTGATACACATGGAAGCTAATTTACCTAAAAGGTTGTTATTGACCTTTAATTTGGTTAAAAATGAAATTTGAGATTTCAGAAGTCTTAAATTTCATCCCAAGAATCTAAGGTCAGCCAATCTTAATACGTGTGTGTGTAATATATAACACTAGTAATGTATTTTTATAAATGACACCCCTGTTCATGGTAAAAGACTATAATTAAAGGCATGTCCTATAGAAATCTTAAACACAAGGATGGTGTTTGAATTTAATTTTTGTAATCCTCAGGTGTTTTTCAATAAGATATTTAAAATAAATTGTTACCTTTATCTTCAAGGATTAAGGTATGGTGATAAGGGCACTTAAGGGCAGATTAATTGGATTTTACCAAAACTTCTGATGTACTCTTTGAAAGATGGAGTCTTGTCTTTCAGGGCTTTTACTTCAGCCCCCAAGATTTGAAGCAGTAGTATCTTCTAGTTCACCAGCCTGAAAAAAATGACAAAGTTGTAGTGTTATAGAAGCAGCATTATAAAGTTGATTTTGTCCAGGTGAAAATATTTCTGAGTATCTTGAATACCATGAATCTTGAATCATCGTGGACTTTTAAAACCATAGCTTTTGAAACCCATCTGACATTGATGCAAATTATAATAAATTACCTTTAAAAGGAATTTCTTAGGCATATTTAGGTATACTATGATAGGTTAAATATAGTATATCAAATATTGCCCATTTGGAAAGGGAAACTGAAAGATGTTTTAGAATCTTGCTACTCAAAATGTAGTCCATCAAACAGCAGTATTGGGAAATGTTAGAAATGTAAAGATAGAGAGTACTACCCTAAACCTACTGAATCAGAATTTACATTTTAGCCAGATCCCCAAGTGATCTGAGTTTGAGAAGTACTGTTCTAGGAGACTGGTAAGCTTTCCTGACACTAACTTCAATGGATTGGCGTTGTTTAACATTGTCCCACTCAGTCATAGTTATCATGATGCCATCTCCTGTCTTTGGAAACAAGAGTTAAAAATATTTTCCACGTTTATTTTCTGTTATGTCACATGGACCTTTCTTTTGCTACTGTAATCATAGGATTGGGACTGTTAAAAACTTCTTTCCCCATTTCAGTCTCACCCCAACGTGTTCTTCCTCCTCTTCATTCTTAGTCCAAAAGCTTGGGTTCATTTTCCCATGTTCGTATATCTTTGATAATTCTCCATTGTCTGAAAAATGAAACTTCTTATAATCTGACTCCAACCTTCTTTTTATTGCCATAGTCTGTTTAGTATACTCACTAGCTGAATTCAACTACTCGCTGTTTCCAGAATTCTGCTCACTTGGATCCTCGCAAATCGTTGGTTGTACGTAGGATGCCTTTTACCTCCTCACCTCAGCCTTTTGTAAATTCCTTTTTATCAAGATTACCTCAGTTATTGTCCTCATTCTGACTTCTTTGATCACTTTAGCCCATATAGACCTCTCTTTCTTCTGAAATTAATTAACTTCACTACCCTGAGGTAATAAACCTCATTTCAGTTATACATTTTAGAGTAATGTTCTTTAAAAGCAGCAGTCTTTCTTACACATCCTCAAAGAGTCTACCATTATACGTGCTCTCTGAGGATTTCGTGTTTACCTAGCCGCTTTGTAGTGCTGTCCTGTAGGGTAAAGGGAGTATTGGTGAAGCTAACACAAGCTATGCATGTGAACATTTATCCTGTATGACTTTGTCTAGTGATGTTCCCTCTCCAGAAATAATTATTTATTTGCTCAACAAATGCTGCCTGAATTTCTACCCTTAAGGAACTTGCATTTTTCTTTCATTTGCTTTAATTCAGTTACTTACATAAAGCAGGGAAATGAGGATGATTTATAACCAGATTAGTTCATTGTCCCATTGGCTAACTTACTGAATTCATGTATTTGTCATGTATTATCATGTTACATTTTCACCCAGACCATCTAGCCATCAAGCTAAACTCAGGCGCAGGGCTTTTCATTTTAGAAAAGAGATCCAGCTAGAGAATAGTGAGTTAGAACCAATATAAAGCTTGGCCATCATAATTAGCCCACCTGGGATAGAGTAGCCTGAGTAGGAAGCCTTCTAGGCATCCAGGGCTCACTCACTAGGGTGCCTGATCAGTATATAGGCACATTTTTCTGTCTTTAAACAAATTATTGAAGTGTATCTTAAAGGCTATCTACCTGATGAAATCTACCCCAAAGTAAAGTTTAGGATGTGGTGCTCCGGAATCTCTGTCCCATAAAGGAGTCACTTAAAGTCAGTTAAGTTCAACTCCAATATGTGAAATAATGAAATAAATCAGCCTTGAGATAAAAATGAGAATGAATGGTGTATAACAAAAGAAAATGCTGAATAAAAAAGTGTAGTGAGGTACAAAATTATAACACATATGCTTGTTCCAGAAACAAATACGGGTTTCTTTTTATAGATTCGGAGGATTTCTATAATAAGATAAACAAGAAGTTCATGGGTGGGGTCTGTATAAATGATGTCCTAATGATAGGAAAAATGACAGTATAAACAGGATATAATAACAGTGCCTGCTGAATTTCCCAGCATGTTATTTGTAGCTTCTTTCACAGAGTCACAGCTGCTCCCACCAAGGGTGAATTTTTACCTCTGTAAGAGGTCGAGCAAGATTCTAAATTCTCCCTAACAATGGTGGGGTGGGGAGCATAGCCTTTGATTTCGTAGTAAACATATGTATTTTATATTCACTTTCAGGGTAAAACATTTTTTTTTGGCTGTTAGAGTTCTTAAGATATGATTTTCTTTATAAATGATCTCTGGGAAAAATTAGGAGGGCAGAATAAATGAGTAAATGGGCAAGAGCTTGAGTGAGTGCTTTTCAGGAGAAGAAATATACTAATTGGATTTATGTCCACTTAAAAATAAATAAATAAAAGAAGGAAAAAATTAGCGTTTCTGAATTTTAAGAAATTTGTCAAAATTTTGTTTTCTTGAATAATACTAGTATAATAGAAAAGCAACCATGAAGCTTTAGAATACCAAAGTTCTTTTCTTTCTGTCATTACATAGCCTTGTGACCCAGGACAAATCATGGAGCTTCTCTGAGCCTCAGTTTCCTTATTTATAAGATGATGGGCTTTGGTCAATATTTTCTTAGTATTTTTTCTACTTGTCAAATTCTGTTCTGTTTTTAAACTGTTAAGTACATTTAACAAGTGTGTATCTTACCTGTATCTAGTGACTATCATTCCCAAAATGTAAGAATTCCTGTAAAAAGGAAAGCTCTGAACCAGTTTTAGGCATGTTTCAACTATACTCAAATCACTTCCCTTGTTTTATTTATCTTTAAAATGAAGGATAGAAATAACTACATATTCAATTTAGTTGTAGTGATTTCTTTACAAAAGTAGGTGTATATTGATCCTCTCCCTAAACAGAGAACTTCAGACCAGATATTAGAAATCAACTAAAGTGTCAATATACCTGTTTTAAAAATAGCTTTCATTTTTTTTTTTTTTAAAGATTTTATTTTTTTCCTCTTTCTCCCCAAAGCCCCCCGGTACATAGTTGTATATTCTTCGTTGTGGGTCCTTCTAGTTGTGGCATGTGGGACGCTGCCTCAGCGTGGTTTGATGAGCAGTACCATGTCCACGCCCAGGATTCGAACCAACGAAACACTGGGCCGCCTGCAGCGGAGCGTGCGAACTTAACCACTCGGCCACGGGGCCAGCCCCGAAAAATAGCTTTCATTTTTTAGAGAAGTTTTAGGTTCACAGCAAAAGTGAGCAGAAAGTACAGAGATTTCCCATATACTTCCTGCTCTCCCCTCCCCCCACCACACGCACAGCCTCCCCTGCTATCAGCATCTAGCACCAGAGTGGTACATTTGTTATAAACCTATGTTGACACATCATTATCACTCAGAGTCCATAGTTTACATTAGGTATAAATGGCTTTGTACATTCCATGGGGTTTTGAAAAATGTATAATGACAGGTATCCATTGTTTCAGTATCATAAGATGATATTATAGTTTTCACTGCCTAAAAGTCCTCTGTACCCCACCTGTACATCTACCCCCTCG